AAAAAACAAACTATCCCCCCAAACCGCCGCGAGTTTTGTCAAATATTGTACGGGGTGGGACACCCGGGCCCCAGCCCAGTTTCCAGTGCAGATCGTAATTGAGGGAATATGTTGAGCAGGTCGTAAGTCGGATGGTAGGTGTATTCAAAAATAGCGATGATTTTGATTGGTTTGAGGAAATATTCAATTTTTGCCAATATTCAAGAGTAAACAAATCACATCACTCGTCCAATACACACCCAACTGGTGGGTCTAACATGTGTTTATGAATGCGCTGATATTATTTATACAATTATTACAATATTGCATACCAGTAAATATTTTGTGTGAATAAAAACTTAATAAAATTCAAAATGGAATTCATATGTAAAGCCTGGGAACATAAATAATGAACAGAGGAAATATTTTAGTGCCAGGAATGCCTGCATTGTTTATTCAGGACCCTACTTTGAAACTGGAATATTTTTAAATTTGTGTGAAATTGGCTAAATTACCAATTTCTGATCGCTTTTTTGGGTAGTTGACTGGGTGGTTTCTTGTGCTCAGTTCATAAAATGGAAGAAACTAGGAAAACAGCTAAGAATTTGGTCTACTGGAACAATGTAATTGGTCTAAAATAGGACTCGGTGGGCAAAAATCACTGATGTGTAAATATTGCTGACACAGCAAAATTTGCACAAGCATAATTTTGTAATTTCATCATTTTTATTTTATTACATTCAGAAAAAGATTCCCTACCATCTCGTATGAATTTTTTTTTTTTTTAATTCTTGGAGCTCTGGGCAATGAAAGGGTTAAACCCTTTGAGTGTCGAGACCCCGGCTCACAAACTTGCTCAGTCTCAAAGAATTTAAAAAAAAAAATCTTATGAAATGATAAGAGAATCTTTTTTCAAAAGTAATGAGACCAAGAGTTCAAAATTTGATGGAAAACTTACGGAATTAAGTTAGCGGGCTCGGTGATATTTATGCATCTGCGATTTTGCCCACTGAGCCCTATTTTGGGCAAATTCCTTTGCTCCAATCTACCAAACACGTAGCTATTTTGCTAAACCTCCTTTTAATCTATCGATCAAGTACAAGAAACTGCCCATTTACCTACTTCAACTACACAAAAAAGTGATTAGAAATTACTAATTTAGCCAATTCCACACAAAATTCAAAAAAGGCCAATTTCAAAATAGAGGCGAGAGTAAACAATGCAGACATTACTAGCACTAAAATAACATTTTCTCTGTTCATTAGTCATGTCTCCAGACCCTCTTATATTATGCTTGCTTTTCATTTTGAATTTTTATTCACACAAAAAATAGATGATTTACTGTTATTCAGACTACTGCATAATTGTAATAATTATATAAACAATATCAGCGCATTCATGAATGCATATTAGACCCACCAGTTGACGTGTATTGGATGCATAGCATGATTCCTTTACTCTCTAACGTCGTCAAAAATCTAACATTTCTGCTACTTTGAGCTCAATTTCAAGCTACTTTTATTCAGTAAACCAATTAAAATCACCTCTATTTCTGTAACTTATTTTCCATTCTATCAAATGAGATCAAGTAAACGATAATACAACCATAAATACCATACGAAAATACACAGCAAAGTCAGCTTTAAACCAAAAATGTTTTTTTTCTCATGCACTGCTTGCAGGATATTTTATTTACTGCTCACACTGACCACGCAGACCCATTCTCTCATATGTAGGTCTACCAGCTTTCTCCCGCAAGATTTGAAGCTGCTAGAATTTTGGCATTGTATTGCGGGACCGACACTGGCTTCAAAGCCGTAATTTTATGGGACCGACACTGAATGGGTTAATAATGTACATCTCAATCACTGTGAATGGAAAAAAAAATTAGGAGCTCTGATTAGCATTAATCTAAAGCCGAGAGAGAAGTGCATAAATACTTGCAAATAATTTTACTAGCTTTATTGCATCATATCAAGAAGTATAAATAAAAGGAGTCCTTAGGTTATACTTTGATTCTATTGTTGGTTAGGCCTCATTTAGATTATGCCACACAGTTTTGGTTACTATTACAGAAGAGACATAAATGCACTGCAAAACAGAGAAGGATAACACAGTTGATCCCATGTATCAGAAATCTTTCCTACGAGGACACACTAAGGGTACTGAATCTGCACTACAGAAAAGTGAAGAAAAACTTATTTCATTGTGTATAAATGGAAAACATGAATAAACAATGTGCTAAAAATATCTAACCAAGACAGGACTTCAAACATTGGGTTCAAGTTGGAAAAATTTACATTTAGAAAGGTTATAGATAAGCTAAATACCCATGGGCTGTTTAGCCTCTTTGCTGTGATTTTTTTTGGCTTTTATAGACTAATACCTATTATAGAAACTTGGTATTTTTTGTACAATAATAGTGACTTCCATCAACTTCCTGATTTTCATTAACCGTGTTTGACGTATATACAGTGGACCCTCAGCTAACGATATTAATCCGCCCCTGAAAGCTCATCGTTTGCTGAAATTATCGTTAGCTGAATTCATTTTTCCCCATAAGAAATACAGTGGACCCCCGGTTAACGATATTTTTTCATTCCAGAAGTATGTTCAGGTGCCAGTACTGACCGAATTTGTTCCCATAAGGAATATTGTGAAGTAGGTTAGTCCATTTCAGACCCCCAAACATACACGTACAGATGCACTTACATAAATACACTTACATAATTGGTTGCATTGGGAGGTGATAATTAAGCGGGGATCCACTGTAATGGAAATCAAACTAATCTGTGCAAGACACCCCTAAGTATGAAAAAAAAAAATTTTACCAGATGAAATATTAATTTTAATACACACAAACTGACACTTACCTTTATTGAAGATCTGGTGATGATTGATGGAATGGGAGGAGGGGAGTGTGTGGCAGGTGTTAATGTTTAAAGGGGAATCCCCTTCCATTAAGACTTGAGGTAACAAGTCCTTTCCTGGGGTTACTTCCCTTCTTTCTTTTAATGCCATTAGGACCAGCTTGAGAGTCACTGGACCTCTGTCGCACAACAAATCTGTCCGTAGAGGTCTGTACCTCCCGTTCCTTTAAGATTTGCCTAAAATGGGCCACAACATTGTCATTGTAATAGTCACCAGCACGGCTTGCAATAGCTGTGTTAGGGTGATTTTCATCCATAAAGGTTTGCACTTCAAGCCACTTTGCACACATTTCCTTACTCTCTTTTTTCAATTCCATACTAATTCTCACCCTTTTTACCACAGGGATGCCACTAGAAGCTTTCTTGGGGTCCATGGTGACTTATTTTGTAGTTACAAGCACTAAAAACACTGGGATAATGTGAAATGTACCGAATGTATGCGTAGATGCGACCGCACTGGCTGGCTTGTAAGCACTGGTGCTGAGGCCACACGTGGATGCGTCTCAAACGAATCACGTAGGGGGAGTTTTTTAGCGTTAACCGAGGCAAAATTTTTGTGTTAAAATGTATCGTTAGCTGGATTTAACATTAGGCGATGCAATCGTTAGCCGAGGGTCCACTATATACTCATAAATTCTAGCGGCTTCAAATCAAGCAGGAGAAAGCTGGTAGGCCCACATGTGACAGAATGGGTCTGTGTGGTCAGTATGCACCATATAAAAAAAATCCTGGAGCACGCAGTGCATAATGAGAAAAAAAATCCAACAGTTTTTTAATTAAAATGCCGAATTTGTGGTCTATTTTCGTATAGTATTTATGGTTGTATTCTCGTTTTCTTGGTCTCATTTGATAGAATGGAAAACATACTATAGAAATAGAGGTGATTTTGATTGGTTTTACTATAAAAAGAACCTGGAAATGGAGCTCAAAGTAAGGGAAATGTTTGATTTTTGCTGATGTTCAAAAGTAAACAAATGTTGTCATTGTCCAATAAATGTCCAACTAGCCATTCTAATATGCAGTCATGAATGGGTTGATGTTATTTGTACAATTATTACAATATTGCAGTAGTTTGCATAACAGTAAATCTTCTATTTTTTGTTTGAATAAAAATTCAAAATAGAAAGCAAGAGTAATATCAGAGGGACCTGGAGATGTGACTGATGAACAAAGAAAATGTTATTTTAAAGTCAGGAATGTCTGCATTGTTCATTCTAGACCTTATTTTGAAATTGTCATATTTTTTAATTTTTGTGAAACTGGCCAAATTGCAAATTTCTGACCACGTTATTGGGTAGTTGAAATCGGTAAATGGGCAGTTTCTTGTACTCAATCAATAGAAAAAATGAAGTCCTAAAGAAATAGCTATGAGTTTGGTCGACTGGAACAATGGAATTAGCCAAAAATAGGGCTCAAAGTGGGCGAAATCGCCGATTTGTAAATATCGCCTAGGTCGCTAACTTCGCGAGAGCGTATTTCCATCAATTTTCCATCAAATTTCATTTTTTGGTGTCATTACAATCGGGAAAAGATTCTCTATCATTTCATAAGAAGAATCTTTTTTTTTTTTTTTTTTTTTTAATTTTGTGACACCACGAGACACCTCAGGAATGGAGGTTGCGACAGTCAAGGGGTTAAACTGTCCCAAATGCTGTAATAAAGTTATTAACTTTGTTCAAACATTTGACTTGGGTCTTTTAGCACTGACAAATAGTAAACCACAAACAATTCAATACAAAATATAAACCTATTCAAAAAGGCAATAAAAATTATAGTCACACTAAATTAAAACAAATCAATAAATATTAAGTTTTAGCCATAAAAAAATATTAAAAGTTTAGGTTCACATGTACATGAAGAAAGTACATAAACAGACTGATCAAAAAAAAAATGTCAAAGTGGTTTGCCCACTAACACCTGTCATGAAAATAACAACTGCATTAAGAAAATGTTACACACTTACTGATAGAGTGTCTTGAGGTCATGTACAAGATCCTTGGAAAGACCTTGTTCCAAGTCTTCGAAAGTGTCATACGAGTGGTCACCATCACAAAACTTGCGCCACACCCTGTACCCAGCCAAACCTTAAAAAAAAGAAAAAAAAAAAAAAAAAAAAGAGCCTTAAATCTTTTGAATGACAATTATGGCTAACTTAACAATGAATAGGTATTTGGTGCTCCATCATTAACATATTCAAAAGACCATCATGAACAACTAGCCAGATTTCAGTGATGACTGCCAGATTCACTTCACATTTGTGTTGTTCTTTAGTGTTCTACAGCACTGTATGAGCCTTGTGGGTTTAACACTTCATTTGATTATAATAATTTAGTGTTCCTTTATACAGTATGCCCTATCTGGATCTATGCATTCCAGTCAATTTCAATTCTACATTCTATATTGCAACTAACTAAAGAACAAAAAGGCACAATACTGTGACTGGAACAATGCACAAATAACCTGCACATAGGAGAGAAAAGTTTGCTATGACGTTTCGGTCACACTTGGAACATTTACAAGTTGGACCGAAACACCGTCATAAGCTTTTCTCTATGTTATTTGTGTATTACGACTAACTTTTTTTCTACTATTTCAGTAATTCTACAAACCCAGTACAAATTCTCCATTTTTTTTTAAGCACACTTTCTTAGGAAGTGTGTCTACCATTATTACTAACCATGATCACGGCCTCTCTGTACATCCATAGCAAGCAGGTCTTGGTAAGAGTCATGACGGATGGAGTCGTAATGAGTGGACTCTAGAATGTTGCTGTGGCCCCACTCTTCACGCCATTCTGTGTGCATCTAGAGGAACAACCGCACCATTATATGCATAGCAACTACAAACCAATATGTAGATTACACTACAATATGATAAGGTCTTAGAATGAACATGACAAGCATTTTGTTACATGTAAATTCCAACTGCTCCAATACTAAAATAAAAGTTTAGCACACCAAGCTAATCAGGGTTTTAACATTTCCATATTGAGACAGGAACAAGTAATTTAAAAACTAAGTGATGATATTACTATTGCCTAGATTAGGCTAGTAAAGGAGGGGGTAAAGGAGGTGCTGTGGGCGAGGGGTTTGGACTTCCAGCAAGCGTGCACGAGCATGTTAGATAGGAGTGAATGGAGACAAATGGTATTTGGGACCTGACAATCTGTTGGAGTGTGAGCAGGGTAATATTTAGTGAAGGGATTCAGGGAAACCGGTTATTTTATATAACCGGACTTGAGTCCTGGAAATGGGATGTACAATGCCTGCACTCTAAAGGAGGGGTTTGGGATATTGGCAGTTTGGAGAGAGATATTGTGTATTTGTATACATATATACTTCTAAGCTGTTGTATCCTGGGCACCTCTGCAAAAACAGTGATTACGTGTGAGTGAGGTGAAAGTGTTGAATGATGATGAAAGTATTTTCTTTTTGGGGATTTTCTTTCTCTTTGGGTCACCCTGCCTTGGTGGGAGACGGCCGACTTGTTGGGAGAAAAAAAAAAAAAAAGATCTTGCACTCTCAGTAAAAAATAATAAGAATTTAGAATTGTTAAATAATTTCTGAATTTCATTCTTAATGCCATTACCAAAGAATTCCTGAGAAAATACCTTTAACTTATTGCTACTGTAGCTTCCATAAAATAAACAGTGCACCTTAGGCAGTTTCTTGTACCAAAGCGTTTGTGTAATTTAACAACCTTCATTGCAATTCCGACACTATTTTGTAACCAAATCTCTACTACAGTAATAATCTATTAAACTTAATATTAAGTTATACAATTGTCTTAGCTAACAGGATGTTGGGGTCCAATTTCCTGACCCCATTATGTACATTAAAAATAAAGAAGCCACACCAGTGATATTCCAAACATTTGTTTATATACTTGGAGTATACCTGGAGAGGGTTTCGGGGGTCAATGCTCCTGCAGCTTGGTCCGAGATCAAGCCTTATGGTGAATCAGGGTCTCATCAACCAGGCGGTTACTGTTGGCCCACATGTAAACCAATGTAAGAACCACAGCCCGGCTGATTAGGTACTGACTTTAGGTGCTTGTCCAGCACCTTCTTGAAGACAGCCAGGGGTCTATTGGTAATCTCTCTTATGTATGCTGGGAGGCAGTATCAATATTTATGAGCTAGGAACTGTACTGCCAGCATACAATAACTATCAGAAGTATCTCTTACTACATTCTGCCAAGAACTAAAATTGTGTGGGTTATTTAACAAGTGAAAGCTCAATTCTTCATTCACCAATCACAAAAGCAATACTCTCAATCATATCAAAATTGTTATTTCTTTGCATAGTATACATTGTGTAATTTACGTATATCATTAAACAAAGTCACTAGCATGCATGAGCATTTTGGGCAGACTATTCCTAATTCTTACAGACTACTTAAAACTAGATACAGTTAAGGAGTGGTAAATTTTTATTATGCATTACAAAAAAAAATTGTAATACAATTCATAGTGAAGTGGACAATGAAAAAACATTAAATTTTAGTTGTAAAATTTCTAGGGAGACACAGTGCAAAAACAATGATGACTAATCTGGATAAGCTGATTGCATTAGATATTTGATATTTAGATTCTATCTTTATAAATTTGTACAAAATTTAACTATTTTTTTATGCAATTGGCTGACAGGAAACTTTTTCAATCTTCTGGTAGAACTTGCTATATCAATGCCTTTTATATGAATGGAGTTTCTACTAAAAATATTTAACAGTAAAACAAAAAATACTACTACTGAGAATAAAACTGAGGCAATTGATATAATATCAAGAGAAACAAGTGAAAACCCTTCTCTCTATCAATACGTACGGCAGGATTCCTGTACGTGGCAAGTGCGTAGGATGTGAGTATGCCAGGGTTTACTTCCTTGATGAAGCCAGCAGCAATACCTTCAGCACCAGGGTTCAGCGAATGTTTCTTCACTACTTCTTTCCCCATCAACACTGGCAAGAACTCTCCATAGGTGATGTGATCATACTCTGCTATCACAATCCGTCTGCACACAGCACAATTGTTATTTTAAATTACCAAGTACTACATTATTAAAATAAAATATTAATACCTAAAATGTGTGACAGCCTAACATCAATATAAAATTAATCAAGTCAGCCATGACTTTCCCTTTTGGCATTTGCCTGAGTTGCTAGATGACCAGCCCTGGCCTGCATAGTATAAATGTATGTGGTTACTGTCTAAAAGAAATTAACATCAGTCAGAGGGTACAAACCACCCTCAGGTATACCTGGAGAGGGTTTCGGGGTCAATGCCCCCATGACTTGGTCTGAGACCAGGCCTTGTGGTCGATCAGGGTCTGATCAACCAGGCTGTTACTGCTGGCTGCACCTAAACTGACGTATGAACCACAGCCCGGCTGGTCAGGTACTGACTTTAGGTGCCTGTCCAGTGCCTTCTTGAAGACAGCCAGGGCTCTATTGGTAATCCCCCTTATGTATGCTGGGAGGCAGTTGAACAGTCTTGGGTCCCAGACACTTATTGTGTTGTCTCTCAGTGTACTTGTGACAGCCCTGCTTTTCGTTGGGGAAATGATGCATCTCCTGCCGAGTTTTTTGCTTTCATAGTGAATGATTTTCGTGTGCAATTTTGGTACCAATCCCTCTCATTATCCATCCTATCATTTTCCTAGCAGATGCAGTAGATATATTGTTGTGGTCTTTGAAGGCGAGATCCTCTGACATTATCGCTCCCAGGTCCTTCACATTACTTTTTTGCTCTATTGTGTGGTTGGAATTTGTCGTATACCTTGATACAGTTTAAATCTCCTCAAGTTTTCCATATCTGAGTAGTTGAAATTTCTCTTCATTTAATTTCATATTGTTTTCAGTGTTCTATTTGAAGATTTGGTTGATGTCCGCTTTGAGTCTTGCAGTATCTTCGATGGAGGTCACTGTCATGGCAATCCACGTGTCATTCACAAAGGAAGACATGGAGCTATGGCTTACATCTGTCAGATATGAAGATGAGGAACAGAATAGGAGTGAGTACTGTGCCTTGTGGAACAGGGCTTTTCACCACAGCTGCCTTAAATTTTACTTTGTTTACTATTACTCTTTATATTAAACCTCAATTGTAAGCAAATTACTAGAGTCAATTACAGCTGATAATATAAGCCATTTCAATAGGCATAATTTGATTAATGATACTCAACATGGTTTCACCAGGGGCCGTTCCTGCCTAACTAATTTATTAACCTTCTTCAGCAAAGCTTTTGAGGCCGTTGATCAGGATAAAGAATTCAATATTGTTTATTTAGATTTTAGTAAGGCTTTTGATAGATTACCTCATCAGAGACTGTTGAAGAAAGTGGCTGATCATGGCATTGGGGGAAAATGCTGTCATGGATAGAGTCATGGCTCACTAATAGGAAGCAGATAGTGTGCATAAATGGGGTTAAATCTGAGTGGGGATCTATAACAAGTGGCGTTCCGCAGGGATCAGTTTTAGGCCCATTGTTGTTTATAATATACATAAACGACCTTAACGAGGGAATTACTAGTGACATAAGCAAATTTGCTGATGACACAAAGATAGGTAGGATAATCGATTCAGACGCTGATGCCTCACAACTTCAGGAGGATTTAGACAAACTCAATTCGTGGTCAGAAAAGTGGCAGATGCAGTTCAATGTAGATAAATGTAAAGTTCTAAAGCTTGGAAATGTTCATAACCCTAGCACCTATCAGCTTCATAATGTTGAACTTAGCCATATAGAATGAAAAAAGGATTTAGGGGTTATGGTAAGCAACAATCTTAAACCAAGACAGCAGTGCCTAAGCGTGCGTAATAAGGCAAATAGATTGCTGGGATTTATATCAAGAAGTGTAAGCAACAGAAGTCCAGGGGTTATACTTCAGCTTTATACATCATTAGTAAGGCCTCACCTTGATTATGCAGCTCAGTTCTGGTCTCCATATTACAGAATGGACATAAATTCATTAGAAAACATTCAGCGTAGAATGACTGAATTAATACATAGCATTAGAAATCTTCCATATGAAGAAAGATTGAAGACCTTTAAATTACATTCACTTGTTAGACGAAGAATGAGGGGAGACATGATCGAAGTGTATAAGTGGAAGATGGGTATTAATAAAGGTGAATGTATTCAGATATTTGGGAGTGGACGTGTCAGCGGATGGGTCTATGAAAGATGAGGTGAATCATAGAATTGATGAGGGGAAAAGGGTGAGTGGTGCACTTAGGAGTCTGTGGAGACAAAGAACTTTGTCCTTGGAGGCAAAGAGGGGAATGTATGAGAGTATAGTTTAACCAACACTCTTATATGGGTGTGAGGCATGGGTGATGAATGTTGCAGCGAGGAGAAGGCTGGAGGCAGTGGAGATGTCATGTCTGAGGGCAATGTGTGGTGTGAATATAATGCAGAGAATTCGTAGTTTGGAAGTTAGGAGGTGCGGGATTACCAAAACTGTTGTCCAGAGGGCTGAGGAAGGGTTGTTGAGGTGGTTCGGACATGTAGAGAGAATGGAGCGAAACAGAATGACTTCAAGAGTTGGAGAGAGGGGGTAAAGGAGGTTTTGTGTGCGAGGGGCTTGGACTTCCAGCAGGCATGCGTGAGCGTGTTTGATAGGAGTGAATGGAGACAAATGGTTTTTAATACTTGACATGCTGTTGGAGTGTGAGCAAAGTAACATTTATGAAGGGGTTCAGGGAAACCGGCAGGCCGGACTCGAGTCCTGGAGATGGGAAGTACAGTGCCTGCACTCTGAAGGAGGGGTGTTAATGTTGCAGTTTAAAAACTGTAGTGTAAAGCACCCTTCTGGCAAGACAGTGATGGAGTGAATGATGGTGAAAGTTTTTCTTTTTCGGGCCACCCTGCCTTGGTGGGAATTGGCCAGTGTGATAATAATAAAAAATAAATAAGGTCTTGAAGATATCTCTCCAGGAGAGAACCCACAGTAATGGATTCAAATTAGACAAGTTTAGATTTATAAAGGATGTAGGAAAGTACTGGTTTGGAAATAGGGTAGTTGGTGAGTGGAACAGTCTACCTAGTTGGGTTATTGAGGTTATTGGGTAGTTTCAAATATAGGTTGGAGAAATACATGAGTGAGAGGGGTTGGATTTGAGTGGGACTTACACATGAGAGTGGATAGAGTTATCAGAGCTTATTTCTTGGGTGGCATTGAAAATTGGGTTGGGCAAATGTTTTGTTAGTGGGATGGATTGTAAAGGACCTGCCAAGTATGGGTCAACAGGCCTGCTGCAGTGTTCCTCCTTTCTTATGTTCTATTTGTCAGGAAGTTATAGATCCATCTACCAACTTTCCTGTTATTCCTTTATCATTCATTTTGTGCATTATTACACCACTAATTGTACTTACCTGAAATGCAATCCTCTTCACAATTACTGAGTAACCACCAATGCTATTTATTTTCACTACTGTTTACACTTAAGTGCCTGCTATGTTAGTTCCAAAATAAATATTTCATTACAAAATAAACCTAACAAGGCACTGGGAAATTCGAGGAGAGAATTAGTTCATGCTGATGAAACTAATGATTACACACCTTGCCTCATTGTAGAGGAGAGAGTCATCAAAGTGTGGATTGATCTCTGCCAGGCCATCTGCAAGGCGATTATGTTCCAACACTAACAGCAACCCCAAGTCTTCAACCTGTGAGAAAGGAATGCAAAGTTAAGCAAAGATATTAAGCAATCACTATTTCATAAAATGGTTTGTGGAGTGGTTGTTAAGGTGGTTTGAGCATGTACAGAGGATGAAGCAGATGACCACGTGAGCACATATATCTGGGGCAGAACAAGAGTAGGGGTTATCCAGGAATGGTTGAAGGGTGGGTGTTAAGGTGGTCCCAAATGATAAGAGGTTCAAGCATCATGAAGGAATTCAGGAAAATGGGTTAATAAGACTTAAGTCCAGGAGGAAAAGAGTACAGTGCCTTCACTCTTAAGAAAGGATGGAGATGTTCCACTTCAGAAGGTCATTTGAACTGTGATGTCTGCACTTCTGGAAAACAGCTATTGTATGAATAATTGTGAATGGTTCCATTTATGAGTCGCTACCTTTGTGGGGTGATGGCCCAGGTGTTTAAAAACCTTTGCATAATTATAGGCTCACCATGTAATGGAATAACTTGTTAACATAATTTACCCTCTAGAAAAATTATCAATCACAGGAAATTTAAACAAATAACCATATAACATGGCCTTTCAGCTAAAAGGCACATGACATGGTACAGTTTCTGCTAGCAGCTTTTCCAATCATAAGCAAGAGATTTTAAAACTACCCAATTATGGCAATGTTGAAACAAAAATAAAAGCACCCTCATGAAGGGCAGCTATCAAGCTTTAGACCTATTATCTATGTTACCTATTATGATACATGAAATGAACAGAAATAAACCTATGAAAATTAAACAATAACAAAAATTTTTACTTAAAATTAAACACCATAGGCCCTGACTTATGATGATCAAACTTATTATGACCCACACATATGAACGAGGGTTAAAATAAAATTGTTTTATGAATGCTGATCCAAGGACAACTATCCTTTGATTCAAATTCAGATTTCAAATTCTTTTATTTCTTTGCAGGTTTACAATGTGGATGGCATATTTTAGGAAGTATATTTAGATAGGTTCTAGGTAATAGGTTGGTAGACAGCAACCACCCAGGGAGGTACTACCGTCCTGCCAAGTGAGTAAAACGAAAGCCTGTAATTGTTGTACACGATGGTAGGATTGCTGGTATCCATTTTTCTGTCTCAAACGTGCAAAATTTCAGTTGCATCTTGCTACTTCTACTTACACTTAGGTCACGCTACACATACATGTACAAGCATGTATATACACACCCCTCTGGGTTTTCTTCTATTTTCTTTCTAGTTCTTGTTCTTGTTCTTGTTTATTTCCTCTTATCTCCATGGGGAAGTGGAACAGAGTTTTTCCTCCGTAAGCCATGCATGTTGTAAGAGACTAAAGTGCCAGGAGCTAGTAACCCCTCCTGTATAAATTACTAAATCTAAAAAGAGAAAATTTTGTTTTCCTTTTTGGGCCACCCTGCCTCGGTGGGATACAGCCGGTTTGTTGAAAGAATTTACATGGGTAGTTTACAGTGAGGGTTTACAATGATTTGTAGTGCAAAGAGAGCCACTACCGTGCCTTGGCGTTATGAGCAATCTGAACTTAATACATAACTGATTACTTAACACTAGACCTACAAAACAGTTTAATAAAGTTGCACTAATTATACAATAGGTTATACATCTATTAAATATTTGTTATTCAACATTTGCATTAGGTTAAAATGTGAGAGTTTGTTGTAATTAGAGCATTTACTTATGGATAATAGGCTCAGGGTTACAAACTACTTGTCTGTAGGTTGAAATACTGGAATAGCAAGTCTTCAGTTGGAGTCCTAGGGCATTATAACTTCAATAAATTTTTAACTATTAAAAAGATAAATGATTAACCAAGTTCCAAACACAACTCATTGGTAACAAAACCAGGGAAGAGTATTGTTGGCTGCACCGCAAGTACTAGTCTTGGTCGACCTGACTTCCTGGCTGCACAGAAAGTACTAGCGTCTTGATCAACCTGACTTCCTTCCCATCTAAACTGTATGGGGAGATTTGGTGTTTTTTTTCATTGTAATTAAAGATTCAACTGGTGCATGGTAGCACATGGTTACTACTGTACAGGTATTAAATACATGTACAGGTATTAAATATTTATTACTGGAAATTAATCTCTTTCATAGAGATCTTGCCAACTGAAGCACATCACATGCAACTGTGTAGTACATCACATGCAACTATGAAGCACATCACATGCAACTGTGTAGTACATCACATGCAACTATGAAGCACATCACATGCAACTGTGTAGTACATCACATGCAACTATGAAGCACATCACATGCAACTGTGTAGTACATCACATGCAACTATGAAGCACATCACATGCAACTACTTTGCATCTCTAAGAAACTACTTATTTACTTTAATAGCAATGAATACATTAATGTATTAAATGCCATCTTTCTCCAGTAAACAAACATTATGCAGGCATAATCACAGCAAGACTAACAAGCACCTACATATCAAATTGTGAAGTCTAAAATGTTAGTCACATGTGGAAAAGGCTGCAGTACAAAATTTATTGGAAAAAAAAAAAAGATGGCAAACAATAATAAATATATGACTTCAAAGTAAGTTAAGGAAGCAGTAACTGACCCAGTTATGTTGGGCAGACAAGTGGAAGCAACCCTTCAAACTCTCAGGTACGCCACACTTCACATCTTTCCCTTCCTTCTCTTTTACTACTTCCTCAACTTCTGGAGCCCTAAGAAATGAACAATATAACTTACAAAATAAGGTAATAAAATAAAATTTAATGAAAATGGAGCATTTAGCAAGAAAATCTCAAGAATAAAAAAAATGCAAAATATATTTATGTAATAATGGCTAGATTGGAATCAAAATAAAAATTAGCATATATAATGTAATTTACCTGATAAAATGTTATGGAAATTTCTGGAATGTCAATAAAAAAAATTCTGGAGGGAAGGGGGGGGGGCAATACAGGAGGGTCCCGCATACTTGGCAACCTCTTTTCAGTGTTCCACGTTTTCGTTGGTTTTCAACTGAGCCAAAGTTCATTATGTTCAGTGCTTTTTCAGCTTTTCCACAATTTTTTCACACAACAGTTGCATAAGGGAAAGACAAATAATGACATATTTTAAGGCAAGTATTGTATACTGTAAGAACTCACTGAGCAATGGCAAAGTGAAACAAGCATGTTGAATCTGGCCACTCAACATCTCATGGCAAAATCAAATGTGGCAAAAGGAGTGTAAATTCTTGCTGTGAAAAGGTCACAGACAATGGAAGAAATGAAAAACTTTTTGTTAGTGTGGATTAATAAAAAACAATTGCCCAGTGACAGTTTCTGAAACTGTCACTGGCTAAAAGGATAGTTGTTATATGGTGATCTTAGGTAAGACACCCTGGGAAACAGATTAATCCAGTTTACATCGTTTCCTATGGGAAAAGTCGATTCAATATTCATACAACTATATGAATAGCCTCTTGGAATGGATTAAGTTTGAATATTGAGGTACCACTGTACATTAATAAGCAATCAGTTTCAGTACAGTTAAACAGGCAGAAGACTACTCACTTGAGGTAACCAAAGTATCCAGTTTTTCTCTCGAAGGCAAGAGGATCCGTAGCACCATAGACAGGTGTTGCATCTAGGTAAGTTGACACCAGCGACAGGGATTCTCTGTGTCCTACAGAAAATTTTTTTTTACTATAATGACAACTGAGAAAGGGAAGACTGGGAAAGGGACAATTACATTTGCAGATAGTAACCCTAAGCAAAGATTGCTTTTAGCTATTAAGCTTATACAGAGAACTTTACCAACTAATCCTAAATCCAGATAATTTTATATAATGAATAATTAAAAAGATAACCACTTTTATCCTGTTTAGACTTTGGTAGTTTTTAACTATCAGGATTAGTCTGCCTGAAATGCCCCAGCATGATTGTGGCTTTCTTTGTACTTAATAAATCAAAACTGTAATTACACATTGTAACCTTTGCAAAGAAATAAATGCTTTACCATTCCCCTAGAAGATATATTTGTGCTTAAGATTTCTTTTATTAAAAAGTTCATGGTTATACAAAGCATATCATGCAAATTAGGTATTTTTTTGACACACTAGTCATTCATTCAATCGATATGCTCGCCTAACTGTACTCGCCTAATTGTGGTTGCAGGGGTCAAATCATAGCTCCTGGCCCTGCATCTTCACTGGTCACTACTAGGTCCACACTCTGCTCTGAGTTTTATCATACCTCCTCTTAATGCTATGTATGTATCCTGCCTCATCTACATCACTCCAGATTGTTCCACTTCCTGAGAACTCTATGACTGAAGAAATACTTCCTAACATCCCTGCGACTCATCTGAGATTTCAACTTCCAGTTGTGACCCCTTGTTGCCGTGTCACATCTCTTGAAACATTGTCCCTATGCACCTTGTCAATTCCTCTCAGTACTGTATATGTTATGTCATCCCTATCCCTCCTGTCCTCCAGTGTTGTCAGGTTGAGTTCCCTTAATGTCTCTTCATATGACAAACCTCTCAGCTCCAGGACTAGTCTAGTCTTGTTCCAAACCTTTGCACTTTCTCTAATTTCCTGATGTGTTTTACCAGGTATGGGGTTCCATACTGGTGCTGCATACTCCAATATGGTCCTTACATACACAGTGTACAGTGTCGTGAATGACTTTACTTAAATGCTGAAACGCTATTCTTGAGTTTGCCAGGCGCCCATATGCTGCTGCAGTTATCTGGTTGATGTGCACCTCAGGAGATGCTCAATATGATGCTCACCCCTAGATCCTTTTCCTTGACCTTAGACTGTACTCCATCTGCAGTCTCCTTTGTCCTTCTAGCTACATAACTTGGCACTTACTGGGGTTAAACTCCAGGAGCCATTTGTCAGACCAGGCTTACAGCCTGTCCAAATCCCCTTGTAGGCTTGCCTGATCCTCATCTGCTTGTATTCTCACTAGTTTCACATTGTCTGCAAACAGGGACACCTCTGACTATCCGTTTCGTCATGTCATTCACATATACAAGAAACAGCAATGGACCTAGGACTGACCCATGTGGAGCCTCACTTGACATATGCACCCCACTATAACACTTCATCTTTTACAGACATTTCCTTCCCATCAGGTATTCTCTGATCCACTGCAATACTTTCCCTCCTATTCCTGCTTGCTCCTTTAGTTTTTCAACCAGTCTCTTGTGTGGTACTGTGTCAAAACCCTTTTTGCAGTCTGTCTTGCCAGAAGCAGGCTAGCATCACATTTCAGGTGACCCTCCAAACTATAAATATCCCCACACCCCATCCCAGCATACATAAGGGGGATTACCAACAGACCCCTGGCTGTCTTCAAGAAGGCACTGGACAGCCACCTAAAGTCAGTACCTGACCAGCCGGGCTGTGGTTCGTACATCGGTTTGCGTGCAGCCAGCAGTAACAGCCTGGTTAGTCAGACCCTGATCCACCATGAGGCCTGGTCTCAGACTGGGTCACGGGGGCATTGACCCCGAAACCCTCTCCAGGTATATCCCTCCTTTGGAGTGCAGGCACTGTACTTCCCACCTCCAGGACTCAAGTCATGCTAACTGGTTTAACTGAACCCCTTTACAAAATATTACCTTGCTTACAATCTAACAGCATGTCAATGCATAAAAACCATTTGCCTCCATTTACTCCTATCTAACATGCTCACACACACATGCTGAATGTCTAAGCTTCCTGCACAAAACCACCTCTACCCCTTCCCTCCAACCTATTATTTAAAACTGATTCAATGAGCTACAGTTTTGTGGAGTGACTGAATTAAGATGATATAGCAAGCTACAACAGAAAAACAATAGGACAAAATTTATATGAGAGTTAAAAGGAAGACTGGAAAAAGAACAGGGACAATAATAACTACCCTACAGTTTACTCGATATACTCAACAGACTACTACTACTACTACTACTTCTTCTTCTTTCAACACACCGGCCGTATCCCACCGAGGCGGGGTGGCCTAAAAGAAAAAACGAAAGCTTCTCCTTTTACATTTAGTAATATATACAGGAGAAGGGGTTACTAGCCCCTTGCTCCCGGCATTTTAGTTGCCTCTTACAACACGCATGGCTTACGGAGAAAGAATTCTGTTCCACTTCCCCATGGAGAACTCGACAGGCTTATTTTCCTATAATTTTTACTTTTTTTTTTTTTTTTCTTGTCTCCCTTTCCTATATACAAAGGAACTATTTATTGAACAAAAGTACCAATCACTCCAAAACTATAACATCACCTGCTTTCAAAATTTCTGTCATGGTCCCATTTTTCCCAACCCTTATTTTATTCCACATAATCCCTGAATTAATTCATTTAGATTCCCTTTTCCTGTCATAACTGATCCTTCAACATTATTGCTACTTCTTCCTTAGCTCTAACTCTCTCAGATACACCTGATGTAATCCCATTTCTTTCTCCAAAACTAAAACTCTCCTACCCCTTTCAGCTTTGTTTCACTTAGAGCCAGGGTATCTAGAATACAAGAGTAAATACAAGGTGTTTTAAGGATTTATATGCTGTTTGAGTGTGAGCAAAGTAATATTTATGAAGGGGTTCAGGGGTAACCAGTTAGACAAACTAGTTCTGGAGCTTGAAAATATAGTGACTGAACTCTAGAGAATAAACAGAGATGTTGCAATTGAAAGGGTCATTTGAAGTCAACTTCTGGCATGTCTTGCATAGTGGCAACTGCTGTGTAGTGGTCATTAACTTTTTTTATTAGATAATTAAAACATCAGACTAACCTAAAATAGCTTGAGCTCTGGCTGATCTCTTGAAGTTAATACAAGGCAGGACAGAGTGGATAGGATCATCCTTGTCGAGTATAATGGGTGCACAGTCCTCTGCCTCTGGCATTAAGCAGCAATCTACCTCCTTAGCCAGTGGAGATTCCTATAAAAGATACAACTTGCATAAAAGTGGATTACTTGATAATTACTTTGTTTACCTGTAAAAGATAATTCTCGGCAAGTGAACAAAGGGGTCAAAGCTCATGGGAGGTAAAAAGGCTTATTTAAAGGAGAGTGGGGCTCAAATTCTTTTTATCAAAAAGCCCTTCACCACCACCCAGGTACTGTACTTCCTTTAAAGGGATCAGTACAGGCGAGTCCCGCTTTACAGTGCTTCGCTTTATGAAGTTTTGCTAATAAAGCAGTTTTCAATTATACCCATTCTTCATTTATTCAGATTTCCTACAATAAAGATATTCACCACTCACTAAGCCAAGGCCGAAAATATTTTAAAGTAAACCATACCACAGGTGGATATAGAACCCGCGATCAGAGTCTCAAAACTCCAGACCGTTGCGTTAGCCACTGGACCAGCTAGCCACAATAAGATTCATCCAACTAGGTATATTTCTACACTATAGGAAGGTTAGCATAGGCACCACTGTGACCACAAATGTAGGATTTTACAGACAAATCTGCGTGTAGTGTGGCCGTGACGAACTCTAGCTCAAGTCTCCTCAAAGCCGTCAACACGACTCATGAAATCTTAATGACAAGATTGCAAACAAACCATACCACGGGCAGGTTCTATCCCCGCCCATGGTATGGTTTGTTTGCAATCGTGTCATTACGATTTCGCGAGTCATGTTGACGGCTTTGAGGGGACTTGAGCTAGAGTTCGTCACGGCCGCGCTAGCTGGAGATTCGTCTGTAAAAACTTGTATTTGTGGTCACAGTGGTGCCTATGCTAACCTTCCTATGATGTAGAAATATACCTAGTTGGACGAATCTTATTGTGGCTAGCTGGTCTAATGGCTAATGCGACAGTCTGGAGTTTTGAGACTCTGATCACGGGTTCTATCCCCATCAGTGGTATGGTTATTTTAACCCTTAAATGGTCCAAATGTATATATACGTTCACTCACACAGTGCCCCGAATATTTTGAATTTTTTTTTTTATAGAAAACAAGAGCGCTAAGTGTTTTAAAATAAAAAAAAATTATGGTCAGTACTTACAGAGATACGAGGCAGAGAGGTTGGCACTGGATGCTCGTGTGACGGCAACATGGAGTCCTGCCACTTGCAGAAGTGATGCCAATATGCATACCTTTTTTTCTATTTTTCATATTTTATATAATTTTTATGTTCTGATAATTACAATTTATAGTCGTTCATGTCATTTCATAACCAACATTCGTTCTGACACTATTATTAGGTACTGAAATTGTACTCAAATTGTCACAAACACATTGACAGGTGGACATTTACACCTGCCTTGGTCATTTACTATTGTCTTGGAATATATACAAAGTATTTATAGGTCCCAGCAATGTTTTGGATATGTGGAGGCATATAATAATAATGAGGAGGAGAAAGAGAAGAAGGAGAAAGAGAAGAAGGAGAAAGAGAAGAGAAAGAGAAAGAGGCTGCTACTGCTAAGTACAAAGCATGGCGAAGGTATAAGCGACATCCTACCACCTATAACAGGAACTTGCACAGACAAGCCTGTAGGCATATGGGTGACGTTCAAAAGTGGGCCATTGCTAAATGGGAGGTGGACACTAAAAGAAAGCTAACATCAGGTAGGGTTGGCTCCAAAACCTGGTGGTCCCTGGTCAAAGACAGACAAGGTTATCTGCCTGATGAACTCATTCCACCTCTAAATCGACAGGATGGGACCACCTCTACTAGTAGTCTAGGGAAGGCGGACCTCTTTGCTGAACGCTTTGCTACCAAAATGCAAGTTCCTGATCCAGCAAGGGACCCTCCTTGGCTAGCTGCAAGAACTGTGTCAAAACTGTCAGTGGTGACAATAAGGCAGGAGGAAGTGCATTTCCTTCTTAAATCGCTTGACCAAGAAAAGGCTGTGGGCCCAGACAAGTTGAGCCCAAGATTGCCGAGAAGATGTGCAGACCAGCTAGCAGCACCTCTAACTCGCATCTTTCAGCACTGCCTAGTAGTGTAAATGGCCCTCTCTATGGAACGAGGCAAATGTAGTCCCTGTTCACAAAAAGAAGAGCAGAGCAGAAATCAGCAAATACAG